CACCAAAGCAATCGTTTCGCGACCCGGAAGGGGAAAGACCCCAAAAGCAATCGAGAAACATTCTGACATGACTCACGCAGCATGAAAATGAGGGAAGACTCTCACGAATCACTGCAACACTGTACACTGCAACTCTCAGTCGGACAAGTGGAAAGCTCATCCCATTTTGGCTCCAGCAGATCCGCACACGCTCACGGTCGGGAGCGAAGCTCGGTTTCGAGCGAGGACAGCAGATTGACCAAAGCACCCAAACGCTGCTCGTGGTACCGAAGTGCTCTAAGCATCACCATGGGGTCACGTAGAAGAGCAGCCGCATCCGAATCCTCTGCTGAGAAAACCATTCTGACGTGCTCAGCATGTGGCCAGGAACGAGCAGCAGAGGTCCGCGAGGATGCAAGCAGTTCTTCGAGGCGCAAGTTGAGCCGAGCATTTTCGGAATTCACGTGCTCTAACTGCAAGCGAAGCTGAGCATTGGACTCCCGAAGGGACTCACAAGAGTCGCAGCGGGTAGCATCAGCAGGTGTGCGAGGCGAAGGCTCCACAGGCCCACGCTCAACAGCCAGAGACTCGCCGTCGCTCACAGGGCTGCGATGGCCAGGACGATCATAGGGCCCCAGGCGACGGAAGCCCCGAGCGTCCACTTCCACCAAGGGCTCCTCAAGTCTCCCGTGCTCATCCTGCAGCGATCGACGAAGTTCAATCACACACAAGCGGCACCAGCAAGAAGGGCCGTGTCGATCCGCCATGTGCATCACTAAAGCTAAGAGCCCAAAAACCGCTAACGGCCGCAGCAGAAAGCAGAAAGTGAAAGCTGCACCGAACAAGAGTCGAGGAAATGCTGGAATAGCAACACCACGGGCAGGGCAAGCGTGCCATCGCCAGGTTGCACCGTACTCCAGACATTCCGCTTTTGAGCTACAGCGCGAAAATTTGGAGAGAAATATGAGCATCAGTGGCACAAGAGCTCAAAGGAAGGAGCAGGGCCTCTTTTGAACCATGGCCAAATGAAGGCAACATCACTTCTTGGAGGCTAACTGCTGAAGATGCTCAGGCCACCTCGCCGCAGCAGGCTGAAGACAGACGCCAGAGCACAAGAGCCACCGCAGAGGAGGTGAGATGCGATCCTCGATCGCCAAGGGTGGCACCGAATCCACCTGCATTCTGCTGAGCTCATCAGCAAGGGCATTCTTGTAACCGGCGATGTGCTCGACTTCAGCCTCGATTCCTGACCAAGCTTGGAACGTAAGAAAACGCTGGAGAACACCAGACATCGCCAGCACCGAGGACATACCCTTGGATGAAGCTGCCTCAGCCGCAGAGTTGTCGCATCGGAGAAAAGCTCTAAGGCGGCCTCTGCACGAAGGTAGGGCCTGGTGTATGCACCACAAGAGCAGCAACTGCGCCAGGAGCTCCAGTGCGGCAATGTGAGACTGAAGCGGTACCTGAAAGAGATCGCTGAAGTCCTGCAGTTCAGTGGCCGACAGACATATTGCAAACCAATGGCTACGTCCACTGGGCCAGCATACATAGCCGCCGAGCCCCATCGATGACTCTGTGGCACAGGCATCAGCTTCAGCCACAATCTGAAGTTCCACAGGGGATCTTAAAGACTTCACGAACGGCGTGGAAAGAAGAAGGGCTTTCCATGCATGCAGACTGGCAAGAGCATCCGAGTCTGCTAGGCGGAGCGGGTGATCAGGGTCATGCACCTCCACCCAGAGCCGCCGTTTCCTGAATGGCATCGCAAGAAGTTCATCCTTAGAAGTCACGTAGCTGTTGGCAACCCTGGTGATTCGAGCGCCAGCATGAAAGGAAGGATGCGCCGCTTTCCGTGTAAGCACACACAAGGAATCAACATTCCTCAGGATGGAACTCCACAGCTCCGGACTGACACCCACACACGAGGAGGGCAGTGCATGCAAGGCTCGGTAAAGCGGTGACAGCAAAGGCCTGAGAACCTTCCAAAGCCCAGTGACCCACAGAAGCCGACCTACGAGACTCTCCAACGTTTTGAACTTGACCTTGGGCCCAGCGAAGAGCAGCTCCTCCAATTGGTCAATAATCTTGGAGATTTTGGCCAGGGGCAATTCGCAGGACCAGGATTGAAGGTCAATCTCCCATCCTATCCAAACAGTCACAGGCCCCCACGTGGCCTTGTGCCAAGAGAGAGGAACCCCAAGGACTCGGAAAAGAAGAACCCACAAAGACGCAGAGATCGGCGCCGTTGAACCCCTAAAGCCCCCAAGAAAATCATCCACATATCCCCAAAGCAAGTGGGACACCCAAATGATTTTATGGGACAGTCGAAGCAAGGTGCCGGCTAGCCTTGCCCACCAAAAAGCCGAAGCCCTCGCTCCGAAATTGAGCGTCTTGGAAGTGAAAAACCTGCCCTCGAAACTGAAAGCAAGGAGAGCCTGGTCGCACCTAGCAATTTTCATAAGCCGATGTGCTTTCCGAACATCCAAGGCCACGGCGAGCCAAGGTTCAGCCCCTAGGCAAGAGGGAGCACATGCCTCGACATCAGCAATGCGAGGGTTCTGGATGCGATTGGGCATTTTGCACGAGGCAGTCACCCCGCTGATGGAACTATCCACAACTAAGCGAGGGGATCGCCCTTCGGAAACCACAAGTCCCAACTTCCCCACGGCAACCGATGGAAAGGCAGATTGGATTTCGGAGAGCGAAGAGTATTCTTCGATCCATCCTTCCTGCAGTTCAGCGGCAAGCAATTCTCTCACCTGTGTTGGGTTGTCAGAGGCGCTGCGCCAGGCCCCATC